TAAAAATATATACAAAAAATTAGCCGGGCGTGGTGGCACATGCCTGTAGTCCCAGCTACTCGGGAGGCTGAGACTGGAGGCTCGCTCGAGCCCAGGAGTTTGAGGTTGCTGTGAGATAGGCTGACGCCACGGCGCTCTAGCCCGGGCAAAAGAGTGAGACTCTGTCTCAAAAAAAAAAAAGATAATGAAATTTCGCCCCCAGACGTTATAGAAAAATGTGTGGTTGGTGCATATTGTAGACGTAGAACCCTGACCTATTAAGAACATCCCAGTGGAACTTGCTTATAACCTTCTAGGTTTTAAGAGTGGACCTGGGCATCTGGTCAACAGCGCCAATTATATCACGAAGTGGTAGTTACTAGTCCAATAGTTTCCCAGCCACGGTGGCCAGTCCCCTAATGCTGACCGAGAGGCCGCTGTCCGTCCCACGACGGCTTGTTTGTTTCCAAATCGTTGGTGGTTGTCTGATGTGTTTGAAGGGATCCAGAATGTTTCCAGAAAGGAGGTGCGGGATGAGAATGGGACGTAGGGCTGGAGGCAGCCCTGTCTGGCTTAGGTCCTCCAGGTATATACAGAGCTGACTTGCCGGGACCCGCAGGAGCTCATGGCCCCAGGACCCATCCCTTGAGCAACTTCCCGCTAAATGAGGCTCAGGAAGTGGGCTCTAATAACTACAGTCCTGTTGCCAGCCCACATGGCTTTCTTGCTCATTGGGGTTGCTGATGAGCCGCGACTTTGTCATTAAATATGTTTCCATGACAGAAACCCAGGCCCTACTCTAAGGTAAATAATCATTTTCTGAACCCCTGACTTTGTGTGAATTCCCTTAGGACTGGAATGTTACGGAAGGTCAGCTCTGAGCGAGGAAGGCGGTTTGGGTGCCTGTGAAACGATTGTTTGCTCTGCGGGGCAGGCGATAAGTTCCTAGCGTGGAAATTAAGTTCCTAAGATGTTCAGGGCAGGGAGAGGGCGTTTCTCTCCTTGCAGTGAGATTGGAGGAGGAAGAAGTGAGTTGTGGGACTCAGGAATGCACTGAATTTATTGAAGATGGAGTGCAGGACGGGAGGAGGACACTGCTGGAGGGATGACGGTGCAGGAGGAGGGAGAACGTCATGTGTAGACAGCTGTGTCTGCCCCGTCGTGTGTAGACGGCTCTGTCCCTGGCCTGTGTAGACAGCTGCGTCTGCCCCGTCGTGTGTAGACGGCTCTGTCCCTGGCCTGTG